ATTAGTATCTTTTTTTTATGAAAATAAATCAAATGTAAAAATGTATCAATATTTTTTTATATTTTTTTAAAAAAATACTAAACAAAATTAATAATTGTTTAGTTTCCTTTTTTAGACAAGTCAAATCAGATCAGATCGGGTCAAATGTATATTTAATTCAGATCAATTTTATGTCTGATCAGACCTGATCTTATCAGATCGGGTCAAGTCAATTACCCGCCTCGACCCGACCTGTTTGGAGCTCTAATAATTATCAATTCCTCTAAAACCTTTTTTATATTTTTTGTATAAGTTGGTCCAAATCCTATCTGTCAAAACACTTGGTAACCCAGTTAATTTGGCATGCTAATCCAGATATTCAGGAGTTAATATTTTATTGGACTTGATCATTTTCCTTTTTATATGACTGCAAACAATTTAAATCTCTTTTTTCTCATATAGACCTATTCATATGAAAAAAAATTAAAATTCTCAGATAGATTATCATCCTAAAGAGTTACCAAAGCAATGAAACTATGCAACTATTTTGATTTTGCGCTATTCACACTTAATAAAATAGGATTCAGCCTTATATCTATCTTTTATACTTTTTTCATCATTATGATTTAACTTACTATAATGAACATGAAGTCTTGTCAGTAATTCCATAATAATTGAAATTTTCACTACTAAATTCTCTATATAAATTAGGATATTAATCCAATGCTTTGTTACGAAAATAGGATCAGTCATAAATCTGCTTAGATTAGGATGCAGATAATATACTTGTTTGAGATATATCTGATGAAATTATTTCTGGTAGAATATTTATCTTAATTTCTTATTCATAAAGTGAGGATTAGCACTTAATATAGTAAGAACCTTTTATGTATCAGCCAACTACCTTTCCTTTATCTGCATCCAGAACATAAGCCTGAACTCTTAAATTCATACCCATTATTATGTCTGTCATTATTGTATGAGAATAGATAGGAATATTCTTTCAAAGCAACATTGATATAGGGAGTATAAGCATCATATGGAATGACCATTTTATTTGGTTGAGAGAATGCTAGTACTTCAGCTGATATGGTTTGAGATGCATTTATGATTTTTTCGCTAGTAATAAAGCCCAAGCTCAACAGTATGATTAAAGCAGTTACATCACTAGTGATTATTTCTGAAGTCATATGAATGCATGAATTTTTTCACAGTGTGTTGTAAGATGATTTTAATAGTATCACTTTGCATGTCAGTTAACTTTGAAAGTTTGTTTGTATTATAAGATTTGATTCAAATAATCTTATCCTCTTCAATTTCACTAAATAATATATATATATGCTTAGTTAGCTAGGTTCTTTTGTGTAAGTTTACACGAAAAACTCCTGAAAGATACTGTAGTATTTCATCATAAATTGGTTCACTCGCAAGTTTATAGGCTTTTTTATTCGTAATAAGTCTATTCTTTAGGATTTCAGGTAAAATCTCACTATGTCTTTTTTTAAAATATCTTCTATAGCAATACCAGCTCACGATTTCATCTTATTTGGCTCATATAGTATTAATTTCAGCAAAATTTATTATTTGATATAGATAGGCTAATTTTATTGCAGGTAATTGATCAACAACAGAACTCTTCTACACATTAACAATTTTAACACAATCTTCTTTTGATAGTTCTATAAGCAATTCTTGTATTATAGGCTGTATATCTATTTTAGATGCTTTTTTTAGCATTATATTCTGATGATAGGATTATTAGAAATAAGATGCAAACTTATAGATGATTCTGATTTCTGATTTTTGTAAGTCACCTCTGATAACCAATCGGATAGTTCTGATGAATTACTATCTGAAGGGATATCAAAAGTATCAGGTAAATCCAAATTTCGAAGCTTTATTTCCCTATTTCTTGTCCTAATCTCATTACTAACCTTTTTTTGTATTCCTTATCCAAGAAAATATCCATCTTTTTATCCTCTAATGGGACTTTCTCAGAAGAAATATCTTTATTAAAACGCATATACTGCAAATTAGTAATGTCTTGAGTTTGCTGTTTGATTTCAGAGTCAGATATTAAATTATTCTCAGCAGAGCTAGTTTTAAGGCTATTTCATGAATTATTATGCAAAGTACTATTTTTCAGATAAGAAATAGGTTCTAAGACTTTTTGTTCTTTTATAATAGAAACTTCAACTATATCAACATTATGATTCGAGAATATAGTATCCTGTGAAGCTTTGATCTGAGAAACATTATTTTTTTCTTATGAATTATGCGTCTATCTGTAAGAATAGTAATATTCTTTTGTTGTGGATTTGTGAAAATAGGTTTATGACATTCTAGACATAAAAGCAATTCACAAATTCTTCCGGCTAAAATATCCTACATATAAGTGTCCATATCCAGCCAGGATTTTCTAAAAGCATTTAATGAGGATCCTGAACTATACTAATATAACTTACATTTGAGTTTGATAGAGTTTATATGTAAACTTTGCCAAAAGTTGCTTATTTTTACAAATTTACTTATCCTACCTACATACCCTATTATCTCAATAACCAGTGATTCAATTTTAATGATATTTATACCATTAGATTCGTCTAACCAAGAGAAATCTAATAGTAGTAATTTTATCTTTCTAGCATTAACATTGACCGAGTTATACTATACAATATAATTTTAATTATGTGTTTGTATTACATTTGTAAGTTCTATTAGTATAGTTCAGGGTTCTATCTCAATATAAAATCTGATATCCAAACAGATACAGAGAATTAACAATTTTAACTAAAGATAATTTCTATAATTATTTTCACATTTCAATTGAATAAATGAATATCTAAAATGTAAAATAAATAAAATAAATACCTAATACAGAAAATATATAAATTATATGGTAGTATTTAAATTATATTATTTATATTATATTGGTTTGATACAAAATCTCGAAAATCAAAATCCTGAAGGGTCATAATCCTGAAGTCATAATCCCAAATGACCATAATCCTGAAGGGTCAAAATCTTGAAGGATCAAAATCTCAAATAATCATAATTCTGAATGATCATAATCCTGAATATTATATTTTTTTAAAAAATACAATGTAATTGTTAGCAAATTTGATTTGTATCATTATGTTATTATATATCGAAAATCAAATTAATACATCAGGATACCCAATACATCACACAATATTAATAAAATTTTTTTTAATAATTTTTATTATTGTATCATTTTATATTTTAAAAGCATTAAAAGCAAACATAACTATAAATATAATTACAAAATTAGAATACTAAAAAATTAAAATTTATAAAGAAATATTATGTGCAATTCCACAAAGAAAATCCATTACATTGCAATTTTCTTTATCATTCAAAATGGTCATAATCCTATTTTTCCAGTCAATTATAGCTTTTTTTTGCTTTGGCCGTTGTTCACCACGAATAATATTTTCAATTTGAATTTCAACCTACTATTGCTCTTTCTGAAATTCTTGAATAATTGTATAAACTCCTACATGTGCTTTACCAACCAAAGTTCACCAACAACGATGTCAAACTTTAATCTTATTCTGAGTTCATGGTATACCTAGTTCTATTGAATCATAAACTAACCATAATTGTGGTGGAAAAAGAGGAAGTATACGAATTACATTACCAGTTTGAAATCATCATCCTATTTTCCCATAAACATAATTATCATCAAACCATTATATTACATTATTTGCTACTGAAGGTATTTCTGGTTTTAAGATATTAAATGCTGCAGGAATTTCATCTGATGGTAAAAATGCTAATGCAAATAAATAGCGTATCATAATATTAAGATGTTTATCAGTACCATATTGGATAACTAATCCAAATTCTTGTATTTTTTTCCAATCATTTTGTCCTAAATGGAAAAAGTATCCTTTGTTTCTAGTTTCAGGAAATTCATTATGTGATGCATTGATTGCTGCTTTTTCAAAATCTGTAATAATTGTTGATGGTTTTAATTTAATATCATTATCTTCAGCAAAATTAATTAAATCTTGAAAAAATCATTTATAAAGTTCTTCTAATTATTAGTCATTAATGCATATAAGAGTGGTAAATTCTAGAGTTATCTTCTATACCAATAGGAGCATGAATTGTATATAGTTGATAAAAAACAGTCAAAACTGTTTTAAAAGTACCATCCATAATCCAAAATCTTGCTTGTGATAGATATTGAATATTTGTTTTTGTAGTAAATAAAAGGTTTCTTTCTTGATTAATTCTTATATCTTTAATTAAAAATAAATCTCCAATTAAAGTATAACAAAAGGAAATTGGAACATTAATCTCATCTAGAGTTTTTGGCTGTGATGGTATTACTGTTCTTTTAATATATTTAATTTTCATTCGAAGAGCATTTCAGGATGGCATATTAGAAGCAGTTTCTTTAGAGATGTTTATAATGTTATTTTGAATAATTTGAATAAGTTGATCTCTTGTTGCTAAAGCTTGTTGTTTAATATCAGCAATAGTTTTAGCAATATTACCACTACTAGCTTGAGGAGCATGAGTATGATTGAAATATTTTTGAAGATAGTGTGAACCATTATTAAGAATTGTTATTGCACGACCTTTACATTTCTCTGACTTTTTTTTTCACAACATCAATAATAGGTATTTTTCAAAGTTTGCTCTTTTGTCATTAAAAAGCCATAAACTTTTATTTTATCATTTTCTTTTTAAAAAGGTACGATTTCACGATTTCGTAATTTTCATCTATTTTTATTATTTAGAATATATGAAATTAATATTTGGCAAAAGTATTTTATAAAAAGGATGAGAAAATAAATTTTTTTGCATTGTGAAGTTTGAGAAAATTTAATAGACTCAAGAAATTTCATTAAAACTTGTGATAAAACTCTTAAAATTGTTAAACGTAATGCTTAAAAATTCTTAAAATGATCTGCATACTTTATGGGCGCAGCAATGATATTTGGGATTATGATCATTCAGAATTATGATTATTTGAGATTTTGACCCTTTAGGATTATGATCATTCGGGATTATGACTTCAGAATTATGACCCTTCGGTATTTTGATCTTTGAAATTTTGAATACCACCTATATTATATGGTAGTATTTAGATTATATCTTTTAATTATATAATGATATTTAGATTATAGAATAATACTCAAATTATATAGTACCGTAAAATCTTGAAATTAAGCACCCCTTTTTGCAGTCATGTGATTTACAAAACTGATGGAGGTGCTTAATTTTAATTATCAATAATGTCATTATCATGCTATAAATTTATTATAAATAAATTTATTTTATTATTTGATTTTATAAAATCTATATTAGTTATTATTTTCAAAGGTGCTTACTTTTAGTTTTTTAAACACTATGGCAAAAGTAACAGGGATGCTTATTTTCAGAAGGTGCTTAATATTAAGATTTTATGGTATTATTTAGATTATATAGTGATACTATAATTTAGGACAAGTAAAATACCACTATATAATAAATACAATTATATTATATAATGGTATTTCACTAAGAGTTATTTATATATTAAGATTAGATTTTTGAATGAGTTGAGCTAACTTTTGAGTCAAATAAGTTGAATCAAGTTAAGTTAAGTCAAGTTAAAAAAATTTGACTTGTTTAACTTAAGTCAAGTTTCAAGTTAAGCTTGACTTGACTCGAAATAACTTAAACTAAACTTGAGTCAAAGTTTAAGCAAAACTTGAGTTTAAAGTCAAGCTAAATTCAAGTAAAAATTTAAAATTTTTTTAAAGGAAATATAAAAATTCATTTAGATAGAATGATATATTATTCTAAAAGAACAAAAGTTTCATTCTAATATTATGATTTTATTAATTGTTCCTTTAGAATAATATTTAATTATTCTATAAAAATGATATTATTTATCATTCCTTTAGAATAATCTTTTTATCATTTCTTTAGAATAATCCTTTTATTATTTCTTTAGAACAATCTTTTATCATTCAATCAGAATGAATTGTCTAATGCACCTTTATTTACTAAATATAACTCAAAGTTAAAATTAAAAAATTTTTTTACTCAACTCAACTTGATTCAATTTTTTTGAGTTGAGTTGAGTTTGACAAAAATTCGCTCAACCTAACTCATTTAGAACTCTAATTAAGATATAATCAATAATAAATATTATATAATAATATTTATA